TGCGTGAATTAATTTCGATAACGATCGCCGGGCAACTCGTCGCGACATTCAACGCATTAGACATAGTTGTGAAGAAGAAAGTTAATCAAAATAAGTACATAAATTAGTTTGCATTAATTAGGTAATTAATGCATTTTGTCAAAGCGGCTCGTGTGATTATGAGATTATAAGTATATTCTCGAGTGTGTTTGTATGCATTTTTGTTTGTTGCAGGAAGACTCGCATGTTCTAATGGCGTATACTCAGCACGATTTCTACACCAAGTCTGTAAATGAATATAGTCTCTATGAAGAGCAAGGTACGAAATTCGGTTTTGTCCAGGAAACGATTAATCTTAAATTGGGATGGATAGAAAGCTGAAAAACGCGACAGGAGTATCGCATCTATTCGTTAAATGAAAAGCTGAGGATTATATCCCCTCAATGACCCCAATTTGGCAACGAGCAAAACTACATGGAGGACATATTTTTAATTCGTTTTTAAAATATTGTTGACATACAATATTAAACTGCATAAAGTGTTATTATTATTATAATTACGAAAACATGATATATATTTCTTACTCTTTTATGTCCTTCGGTGACTTATTGCTGGTATAGATAACGATATACAGCCTTTGTTATGTTGTTACTTTTTCTTTAATAAAATTTATAAGTTTGACGCTCGATAACTTCTTCGACTTGCTTAATTCTACTCTTTATGAGAAGAGAATTACCATATAATAAATTTCTTATTTTTATTATATCGTCATTTACTTAAGTGTATGTACATATATATGTGTTAAGGCCGTAATTAAAAATTTTTTTGAGTCTATTACTGACGCAATCATACAATACAGATAAGCGATTTATTAGGACTCTCCTTTGTCGATGTGTGTTAGTTTGTTATGTGTATTGTTATATCCGTCATACATTATAACTTCTGTATGTGTGTTTTGTTTGTGCTTATTTATTACGGTAAACCAGCTTATAAACTTTGGTGTATATTTGTGCTCGATAAAATATTGATCGTCTTCAAATAAAATAGGACATGTGGATGACATTTGCGATAAGGCAAACAAGGTAAAAGACTTATGACAAAAAAGCTGCCCAAATTTTGCTTCTGAAATATCACTCGTTCTCTCATCTTGTCAAACGCACTTCAACATTTGAAGAGTGCATCACGCAGAGCAGCACTTAGCGCGAGAATTGCAGCAAGAGAAATTGATCACAGTTTGTGACCAGACTTCTTCATCATCATGGCAACTTTATAGGTGATACCTTTTCTCCTAGGTAAGTTGAGAGTTTTGTTGCTCGATTAAGCTTTGATACGATTTCATTTCAACTATTAACGTCGTTTGCAGGCGTCGGTCGTCGCGCTGAGTTTCTTCTTTAGTTGAATAGCTTTATTAGTTTTAGTAGCTTTCATAACATAAAAACATAAAATAATAGAAATATAATTGCTAGAATCTGCGTGATAGAGGATTTGCTCGTGACTGGTGCATAAATTAATGCATTCACATTTATTCATTTGCATTAACAATGTGCAATTAATACACTTTAAAAAAGAAAGAGATGCGTCGAATAAATTATATGGAACTGTAAAGTGTTACGAGTTAATATAACCTTGATTGTGTGTGTGCGCGATTATTTGTCAGAACAAATCATACTCTCTAATGGTGTTCACTATGAATTCCTTCACTTCTATGACAGAAAAGATTTTTGAAATACGTAACAACCTCAAAAAAGTTGCCGGAGTTATTCATAAGAGAATTATAAGATATTTTTTCCCTATCTCTTTTATATTGCTACGGACTCAGGACAATATATAATAATTTGTCACAAATATATTAATTATTATGCAAGTATATTAATTGTTATTATTGTAAATTAATATTTAATCATATGTAATTTTACAATCTCCCTAAAATTACGTAATCTATTGCAGATTCACAATGCAGATGTAAATGATCCATTGGAATACTTCTAATGTTGATGTCACTATTAGTTTGTTAGATAATTGTTTCAATGTGGACAGTTGTTTATCATATGCGATATAACATCTTTTGATTTCTAGCATTATTCAATATTACATCTTTTACGTTTGTGCGATTCAAATTTATATTCCTTATAAATCAAGAGACTACTTTTCAATATAGTTTTATGCAATTGCATGGCAATTGTCTTAGTTTCTAAAATATTGAATTTATTAAAATTGGACTTATCCAAGTAGAACAGAAAATTACGTTGGCGAGAAAATAATTTCGACATTAATTTGACATCGTTGGTTTTTAAGTTGCTGAGTGAAACTCGCAAAAGGGTTTGAATCTCGGCTAAGTCGATCGTGGATGTCGATGATGAGTGTCGATAAATGTTGGTTGAAAATGGTTTGCGTCTTGAGTTCTTGGGTGATGTCAATTTTTAGTTCCGATATTTTCGCTATGAGCCGCCACTTTACTTATCAAGTACTTTACTTACCACATTCGTGGTACGACTCAACGATGAATCAGAAGCTTCTTCTCAACGACTCAACGATGAATCAGAAACTACTTCTAAATATTTCTCAAGTAGTATGGCTCAAAGTCTAGTTAGCCACACTTGTTCATTATATGAAACAAATAAGCAAATTCAACAAGCTATAAATTCGGTAAAAATGACAATAGCAAAATGGTTCAGAAATCATTTTAAAGCTTGAAGTCTCTAATTTCCATACATTCGTATTACATTCGAAACGTTACTGTTATTTATTTAAGTGTATGTGCGGAAGTATCGCGTTAAATGAGAAATGACGACTCTTCGATTTTCAACCTCATCTTTTAGTTGGTTTTTTACAGTGTTAAATATTAATTTACAATAATAACAATTAATATACTTGCATAACAGTTAATATGTTTGTGACAAATTACTTCATATTGTCCTGAGTCCGTAGCAATATAAAAGAGATAGGGAAAAAATATCTTATAATTCTCTCATGAATAACTCCGGCAACTTTTTTGAAGCTGTTACGTATTTCAAAAGTCTTTTCTGTCATAGAAGTGAAGAAATTCATAGTGAACACCATTAGTTTATATTTATTTGTATGAAAAATACGATAAATATACTTCGAAAAGAGAACTTTAAGCTTTCTATTCATCCTTTAGCGAATGTCGTACATCTGTTCTTTCATCTACTGTGAACGATCAAATTTAAAGTGCCATTTTTGCGTCAACATTGAATATCTCAATGAAAAAGAAACATGAAGCAATTTGTAGGAATTCAAATTAAAGAGGAAGATTTGCACTTGCGGCTTCACTTATTATTTGGAACGAAACTATCGTGGAATTGCTCAGTTTTAAATCAAAACCGAGCAATATTTGCCGACATATATGAGATTGATGATGACAGAGCAATAAATATAACTGTATTTGACAAGGACAATTATCAAAAATCGTCCTTTATCTAGGAATCGATTTATCGATAATATCATTTACACATGAATTATTACACGACGTATATCTCCTTTTCCTTTTGTATCTTTTTTATATACGCGCAACAGTTTATCACGAACAATCACTAAATGATTAAATAATTAAATAACTTTTTTATTCATTTAATTTTGCCCATTACAGATCATTAATTAATAGATTTCCCATTATTGCTGCCCCCTATTCTACCTGTGTATGCGCGTACATGTTAATCGTAAATGTATAAAATAATTAAAAAGAAATAATATTCATATTTTCACTACGACTCTGTCATTTTACTTGAGATACTTGTTCATTATCTTAGAACTATGAATAAATGAGACCATGAAAAAAAGAAGAGCAGCTTATGTCACGTCCTATCGCTGCAATCATCCGCGTTACCTAATTTAATGCCGCGAATGAGATCATTGTGTCCCATCTTCGTGTTAATGGCAAAATTACGCCCCTCGTTCCTCGAGATAAACGTCACTTCCAAGGTTCGCTCGAGTATCACCCGCGCGTCTTCTTTTTGATGAATTTAACGAGAACGCGCTTTTCCCCTTAGCTTTTCCACATTCAGACTCAATAAATCGTCTCGTCAGCGCATTAATCGAAACAATTCGTTGTCTTTTTTCCACAGATACGACAATTCATCGGATATATAATTTAAATTCGACAATTCGCGAAAGAAGAAATATAGTCCTCCGGACTTCCGCGACACGGTCGTCGTATTACACGTTTGTCCCCATTTTCGCGACATAATTAAGCGAAGTACCTGGACCGCGGGTACGCGGCGCATTTATTGTCCCCCAAGGTCATTGTAATGACTTGAGCGACGAGATGCGCTCGGCAAAGTGCACGTTCTCCAACGTACCAACGACAAGCAGTCGCAATGCCGATTTTGATTCATCTTTCAGATGTTTTAGCTCCAAGCAGCACTCGTGGATTTTTCACTTGAAACTACAAAACATTCTCTCGTAATTATTGCACGACGCGGATGCAGGCGATCTCTTTGAATTTCCCTTTGTCGACATTGCGCGTCAGTTTCCTATGCGTTCCCGGCAAAAATAACGATGCATAAACTTTGTCTCTTTATATGGCAATATATAATCTCGCGTAATTATACACTTTGAAGTCAAAAAAATGCTGCTGTATATGCTGCTCTCTATTTTTTTATTCCTTTTCCGTAGGCATATCATTGTGTATGATTATACATGTGCGACCATATAAAGACGAAGTTCATATAAGAGTCATATATAATTACATATAATTTATATATGTGTCTCACAACCACCGTAAGATATTTTAATAGCGTATTCTGAAGATAAAGTAGAGTAAAAAATCCTGATACAAAAATGTCGAGGTTATAATAGTTTTTGAATTATAACTGATCAAAGATTATCAGTAATATCGCGTAAAATTCGCGCGCTAGTTGTACAGCACATACATCGTTTAATCATTTGTTATCGACTTCACAGTTAATATTAGTTTTTAGTACACTGCTGATTCCTGAAAACATTAATAATTATTATTGTTATTATTATAATTATTCAATTTAATAGTTTTACACTTAAAACAAGGATTTTTGCGTTTTTAATATGAGAAGTAATCATGAAAAATAATTTATTATTATTTTTATATTTTTTACGTTTTATGAGGAGTGAAATCGTGTAAATCGTATTTTCTATGATTACTTTTCATGTCAAAAACGCATAAAATACTTGTTTCTCAAATGTGAAT